AGGAATACCCTGGCGCAGCTAAGAAGGATATGCTTCACAGCCAACCTGAACTCCAGAGGTCTACACAGCACTTGATACCGTGGGGTTTTTTCTTTAGAAATGCATTAAATTCAGCCATTCCCTGCTCCAAACCGTGTTTGGGTTTCTTACTCTGGTAAATCCAGGATGAATTGTGAAAACAGCGTGAGAAAAAATGTTTCTGCTGTGTCCTAAGCAGCCCACCTCTCTTATTTCATCATTGTTTTGGGGCATATATCCAGAGGCAGAAGTACACAGCAATTGATCTAACGGGTAGTACTGTTTCTGTGTACACCTATGGGATGTGGGTCTGGATTTCAGAGTAGAACCAGCAGTGGGCAACAGAGCCTACTACTGAGTGGGCCCAGCAAGCCTACAGGGTCCTGTGGTGTTTTCATATGTCCTACACTCTTCAACTTCTACCAAAACACACCCGGGGTTGATCAGGTTTGGAGACCTTTCCCCCTGCTCTGACATCTCTTCCTGCTTCCACACAGCCACAGCCTGTCCAAGGTGTTCCTTCCTGCAGGACCCCAGGTTCACTCCACAGACCACTGAACCTATGGAGAAGCTCTGGGATTGCTTCCTTCTCAGTTGTGTCATCTGGTGGAGAATTGTTCTGACTGTTGAATCTGAATTCCATAGAGACCTCGAGAGCCAACAGCCACAGGACAATTTTAGCTGCATTCTTGCTGCTAAGTGGACAGACACCATCCAGTGGGAGTGTGCTGCCTGGATGCTAAACTGTACCATCAGCTGGGTGGTCTAGCCCTACCTAAGACTACTTCCAAATCTGAACAAGGGGAGTCCATGGATTCAAACCAAAGTGCAGATAAGTACCTGAACGAACAGTGCCATTAATGGTGCCCCTAAGAAGCTGCTGCTGCAGGGAACACTGAAAGCAACCATCATTTTTCCAGTAAATCAATGACAAGACAGAAAGGTCCACCTGTTGGATTAGCACCAGCTATACTGCAACAGCTGAACAAAACTGCCCAGGGACCTAGGAATACAGATGTGACAGAAGGGCCAGGGCTGCTCCTCTGGTGTGGGGCTCCTCTTCCAACCCCCTTCTCAGTGCAGCAAAGAGCTGCAGTGGGGACTCTGGCAGGGTGCCCACAGCAGCCAGCCAGTGTGAGTGGGGAAGGGATAGCACCACATTGTGAAAGGAAAGAAAGGTCATTGGATACGCTGGAAGAAGCCTGGGGTACAGCATGGGATTTCTTCTCTCTCTCTTCTGTGTCTCTGCACATATCAACTGAGGCAACCATTATGGAGGCAAGCTCTTCTGGGATCAGGCACAGGGGAAGGATAGAAGAATACTTACCTGGAAGAGCTCAATGCGCTGTTCACTGCGTTTGGAGCTTGGGTTGGGCACACGCAGCACCCGAAATTCAGCCCGGAACAAGTTGGTGCTGTTCTTCTCTGCCGAGGACACATTAAAGCGGAAGACATTGGAGGTGACACCTTTTGGACAAATGCCCAGCTCATCTAGGAGAAAGAAAGATGGAAAGACTGAGAATCACAGGTCAGCGGGGCAGGATCTCAAATAAATATTGAGAAAGTGCTTTCCAGTACAGGCCTGTCACTCAAATATCTTGCCATTTGTGAAGAATGGCTTTCTATCTAAAGATAACCCAGGATGAATTCACTCAAATTTGGTCAACATATTGCAACGTTTTGCAAAATATTCCTTCTACTGCCACCATTATTTCAGTGCTGCAAGCCAGAAAATCAGTAGAGATCAACCGCAATATTTTTAATATTACCTCTTCTAACTCATCAAATGTTGAGTCTGCTTATGAGTCTGCTGCATCCACAATGAAAAACACAGCCAAGGTAATGAGGCACCCTCATGTGGAAGGAAAAGGGCCCATTCCCAATAGTGATGATGGTGTGACTGCTCATGCTGGAGACATGAAGCCATGTTGGAGGTGATCCCATTGCGGCTGACTCTTGGTTTTTTCAAACCTTGACATTGACTCCTAGAATGAAAGCCAGCCAAGTGTCCACAAAGCATGAGGTGTGGAAGACTTTGGGGCAGTGTCTATTCAGTGTGTACTGAAAGAACTGGGTTTTAAGATTAGTTCTCTCTCATGATGGAGTTCATCAACAGTATTACATACAGAGTTCTTCAAGGACAGAGTCATAGTGCTCAGAGGCCTCCAGAGATCAGACACATGGGCAGAAAACAGCACAGCAATTCTCTGCCTCAATGAGTGCCTGCTGAGCAGAAAAATCCATTTCACAAATGCCCCAAAAGACAGCAGGTAAAAGCTATGAGTTTCAAAACAGAGACCTCAAGATAAAACAACCCCCTCTTCATTGGGACCATTTTGGGACCCATAGAAAATTATTTCATCGCTTCTGTTCCTCTCCCATTGACCTCTATTAGCCTTCAAGGCTCTGGCATCATTAAGGCTTCCTGCAGACAAGACACAGCAGCTGCTGCTCTACAGCCACATGCAGGTTTGTTTGCAGCCCTACAGAACTTCTCATGTGACCTTGACTTTTCTCCAGTGCAACATGGGGCTCTCGTAGTATCAGCTTATATTTAAGTTACTTTTAAACAGAAAAAGAAACAGAAAGAAAACCTATTACTGGTTCCCAGCCACAGTTCTAGCCCGTGACAAATAGGCTAGAAGCCCTAGCTGAAGGAACCTTCAAATTAGATTCCTGGAGTTGGCTGCTTTTTTCGAAACAGCACTACTGTCTCCCCAGGGAAACAGCTTCTGAAGATGGACTAGTGTGAAAGAGCACCTGAGCTCAGAGGTTCACCTCCCATGCCAAATTCTGCTTTGAGCAACACTGCACTTTCAGTCATCTCCATCAAAAACAAGGTCTTCCTCTTCTGCTACACTCAGATTCAGCAAGAAGGAGCCTGTCAGTTTATAAGCATGCGTTCTCAAGGTACTGAACTTTTAACTAATTACCAGCTGCTCACATTGGGCTTTAATTGGAGGCAGTTTTTTGCCATTTGTACTACTAAGCGGAACAGCTTTCCCATCCAGGAAATTTCTGGCTGTTAAGAGATGCAGGAGACCAGACCCTATTGCAGCCATGAGCTGGTATGCTCAGCCCGACAACTCTGCAGTGCAGAGTACACGGAGCCACATGAGTACGCCCAGTGTGGGGATGCCACCACTGTGACCAGCTGTAGGTTTTATGCCATAGGAAAACACAGCAGAAAACCTAAGCTCTGATTTCATCAAATGCCCAAAGAAGACATTTAGCTGATGTCCAACACTGATAACTGTTCTGTATCCCAAACCTAGGCAGATACTGTGTTTTAATACCCCCTTAAGTTGTTTTGCACTCCTAACCCTATTAATAGTGCTTTTAACAGCCTGCCCTCCCAATTTAGACCTGACTGCCTGTCCACAAGGGGTGTCCCAGTAATCATCAGAAATGCCTTTCTAGATTGCACCAATGGTCAGTCTAGCCCAGTATCTGTTTCCAACAGTAGTGCTTTATCTGACAATCTATTTAGGGACTGCAGATCTGGTCTTACAGCACAGTGCAGATGAGACACAAAATAATTTATTGTTTATTATCTTCTTAAGACTTATGGTTAAGTTAGGCTGCCATGCTAGTAAGGGGTTACAGTATCTACTATGTTTCACCTGCTTATCCCCACATGGCCTTCTACCTACTTGGGAGATCTTCCCAGAGGAAACAGTAATAGCCAGCTTCCCTAAGAAGAAGTTTCATGTTCCCTTATACCTATGTTCCCTCATGTACCTTAGGAACTAGCCCTCTGTGATGGAGAGTTGGAAATGCATTCTGTGTTTCAGTCTGAACACTGTGAAGTTGGAGCCTGCTTCTCATAGCAGGGTGTCCAAGATGTAGGTCTCACTCCCAGGAAGATGACTGCTTTGGGGCCAAGTACTTTCTGCAAGAGGTCACAGGCAAAGGAGGCAAGGTGATTTTTCAGGGAACTTGGTCCAGTCCTAGCTCAGGTGTGTTTATCACCCTGGAATCCAGACCTACCAACATGGAACAAGGCACTGGAGGCAATACACCTGCAAGCTCCTCCCGTCCACAATGCTCAGTGCCTGCAACCAAACCTAGAGATGGGCAATCTGTGACACCTTTTGCACCCATGCCAGGCTATGTCTGACACAACAGGATGTATCCTTACAGTTGGACCCTGCTATTGCTGTGGAGCTCAGAGCTGTTGACTGCACAATGAGACCAGAAGCCTTTTAGCATGGACAATATGAGCAGGTTCTTTTAGGACCTTCCATCTTCCTACCACTACTCTCAGCAAGGTGAAGATTCTCCACGTGCTGCCTATACTACACAGCTGCTGTTTCTGGCAAGGCCCAAGAAGGCTGTGCAGTTATAATGTCAAGGAAGGGCAGGCTGGCTGTGAGCCGGTACTGCCTCACTCATATTATACCACTGATACTTCAAGGTGTCTCAAAGCTGTGTAACTTTGGAGGAAAACACTGATTCTCTAGAACATTGGTTTGGAGAGAAGAGATACTTGGCCCCAGTGACCCATGACTTTATTGCCTTGTCTCTCAAGCTGGCTTGGAAAATGCCATCTGTTTTTCCTCAGGAAAGGAAGCAAAGCCATGTGCAGGACCATTGCAGATACTGTCTGAGATTGAATCTAACCAAGTCAGTGCTCAAAGGGGTCTCAATCCCCATGAATTTTAGGAGAACCCTGAAGTGAATGGCTGGTCAAGAGCGAGGTATTCTCTGAAAGTCAGTCCCTTACAATTCAGGCCAACAGACCTCAGAAACACAGTAGAAAAACCATTCTGTGTGTCACCAAACACCTCTGAGGAGGGATGGGGAACCTGGTCCTGAATATCCTTCCTTCCTAGAAGGATAGGGCTCTCACCACTGCTATTTTTGCTCCTCCACTGTCCTCTATTTTGGGCCTTAAGTCTTTGAGAAGAGTGAGGTCTCTGAGCCAACAAGCTGCCCGACTAATAGTTTGGAGCTAGAACAGTTTCTGTGAGTGTGTGTGCACACATTTCAGACTCATCTGTATCATCCTTGCAGTTCTCTCAATGGAGCAGTCCTTCCCTTCCCCCCCCTGGAGAAGACTGGCTTTGGCTCAGAGCATGCTCTGAGATCACCACCTGGCACAGTGACAGAGTCATGGGAAAGTTGAACATCAGCCACTTCTGAAGACCCGGGGCCAAATTCAGCCATGGTGTAAGCGATGAAACTCCCCAGGTTTCAAAAGAAGCACATCTCTTGACACTAGGGCCTGTCTCTCCCAGTGTGACCCGAGTCCAAACTTCCCTCTTCCTCAGGGTGGTGATATCTACACTGCCCACTCCCAGGAATTCAATCTCAGTGCTACTTGGTCTTCTAAACCCACTACTCAGCACCTTATCTCAGTGTCCTATGGAGACATAGTATAGGTTCAAGCATTTCCATAGGAATTTTCCCCAACCCACAGTCTCTCCTCACTGCTCCTTCTAGTGCACCACGTGTCTTCATTCCTCTTTCCCCTCTACTTTATCCAAATCCACTCCTCTGACTTCATTTCCCGCTGTTGTGCTTTCCCAGTTTCCTTCCCCAAAACACACCGGTTGATAGTGTGGCTGTACTGTTTTGCACAGACACTTGGTTTCCCAATATATTTTTAAAATTTCACAAATGACACTTCAATAGGTCCAAAATGTTGAAAGCTGCTATACCCTAAGCACTTTCTGTTCCTCATGTCTTGGTGTCTCCTGAGCTACGAGCTAATTGTATCACCATATGGAGTGCAGTCTGCTACAGATTAAGTGAAATTTGTTGCATTACCACACTGCAGCTCTTATTCCAGCTCATCATATGTCAAGATTAACATAAACCTGGCAGACTAACTGCATTCTGAGGCTGCCTGCACGAAGTCACAGCTCCTCCCCAGAACTGCTGGCGTTCAAACTGTGTCCCCAAGACTGCACTGTATCATAGAGGACACCCTGGATGGTGGTATGACTGCATGCCCACCAACATGTTCCAATCCTAAGCACCAACAAAAAGGATTGCTTGTGCCTACATGTGTTGAGCATCTGCAGTCTGCTGGAGGTTCATGTCTGCTCAACCTCTATCTTTGCATCTGCATCTGCTCAGCTTCTGCACCTGAATCAGTTTAGTGTCTGCATCTGGGCCTGTTCATCTGCTCCACACCTGCTCAACATCTGTCATGTTTCTTCGATGCCTGTGTTCCCTTGGGGGTCCGCTCTGCATCACTGCTTTGCACCTGCTCAGTATCTGTTCTCTTCTACTCGCTCTCTGAATCCTCACACTATCCGAGTAACTCCCTCCACGGTGTCCTCCAGGCACTCTTCCAGTGTCTCTTCAGTGCCTCTCCACCTTCTCTACAGTCAGTGCGGCTGCTGCACCGACCGAACAGTTTGCCTCAATCTCTGCAGCGGGCGCTGGAGCTCCAGCAAGGAGGAGCCCCGCTACCTGCTCTCACCCAAACGCGAGACAAACGCCTTCTCCTAGCCCAGTCTGCAACATTCACCTCCAAACCCAAGCTGCTGCCTCTCCTGCCGTCTTTCCACCTCACCTCTTCTCCTCTCTCCTTCCCTCCCCGCTTCCCCCAGGTGTCAGGGCTATAGACACCGGCACGCCTCACTGCCCTCGACTGGGACCTCGGCCGATGCTGGCCCCGGACCCCGCAACCCCTCGATGCGAGCGCCCACCTCCTC